GGAATCCAAACACAAGGGTTCAGCCATCAGTATGACTTCTGGACGGGTTCCCAGGGGTATCAGCAGGAGACCCCCAGTTTCCTAAGAAAAAAAAACAAACAAGGCACACTATGCTAAACTGAAAATGCTACCAGTGCAAACTCTGAGGGGTGTGAGACTGTGTGATGACATAAAAAAGAGAGAGAGAGAAGAGATGATGGAGATGGTGATGATGGTGATGATACTGGTGATGAAGATGTGATGATAAAAATGATGTAAGTTCTTAAATGAACTCAACTGCCAGGAACCCCATTAGCTAACCGCCCTCCTGGGGTGGGACTAGTGCCAACCTCGGTGTACCAATACAAGGAACCCTGGGTCCCTGGGGGGTCGCACATGTTGCCGGAACCTGACAGTTTACAGCTAGAGTTATCCTGGACTCTCCACCCACTGAGAAAGCCAAAGGGACAGCAGAGCCCTTCCCGCCCTGAGACAGGGTCAGAGCAGCGGCTTCATGGAGCAGGTATCCTCTCTGTGTGGGCTGGGCAGGCCAGGGGTCACAGCTGGCCCAGAGGCAGGGCTGCACTCCCAGGCCCACACCCCTTCTGGCGCCAGGGGCCTTGGGGTGGCCGGCCGGAGGGGAGCGGCTGCTCTGATTGTCCTCCAGCAGCAGAGCGCGGCCGGTAGCCGCAGGTCAGAGGCGGGGCTGCCCGAGGGGAGCTCCAGGGGAACCAGGCCTGCGAGTCCACAGGTGTCCAAGGATCAGCGCTTGGCAGGACGTCAGGATGGGACAGGTCGTCCCCTCAGGACTAGTGACCACCTCTGAGGGTCACATCCACAGTGAACCCCAGGGCGCCATGCCTCAGTCCACGGCCAGGACGCTGCCAGGCTGACCGCCCCGCTGGGGAGTCCAGGGGAGACCACAGGCCAGGGGGCCGGGGTGTTAGGACAGCGGGCACGTGGTCAGACACAGGGGAGGTGACAGTGACCTCCATCCTGAGGACAAGTCTGATGTGCAGACGTGAGAAGCCGAGGAGGAAGCGGGGGACAGACAAGGGCTGATGGTGTGGTGACCCTGCCTCTCAGTGAGGGGCCCCAGGGGCTGAATTTGCATAAACAAAGCCCTCGCTGCCCCCCTCAAAGCTCCGAGAGGGAATAAAGGGGCTCGTAGAGCCCAGCGCTGCTGCGGGCTCAGAGGCAGAGCTCAGGGCGCGTCCACCGTGGCCTGCACCCCTCTCCTGCTGTCCCTCCTCTCTCTCTGCACAGGTGCGGCCCCCCGGCGCGGCCCCCAAGTGACCAGGGCTCAGGCTGGCCTTAAGCTCAGCACAGGGGCTGCCGCAGGGGGTATGGGGTCCTGGCGAGGAGACCCTCTTCCCCACACTCCCCTTCCTCTCCTCTCTTCTAGGTCACCTGGCTTCTTCCCAGCTGACTCAGCCGCCTGCAGTGTCCGTGTCCTTGGGACAGACGGCCAGCATCACCTGCCAGGGAGACAACATAGGAAGCTACTATACTCACTGGTACCAGCAGAAGCCGGGCCAGGCCCCTGTGAAGGTCATTTATGGGGATAGAGAGCGGGCCTCAGGGATCCCTGACCAGTTCTCTGGCTCCAACTCGGGGGACACAGCCACCCTGACCATCAGCGGGGCCCAGGCCGAGGACGAGGCCGACTATTACTGTCAGTCAGCTGGTATCAGTGGTGGTGATGTTCACAGTGACACAGACAGACGGGGAAGCGAGACACAAACCCTCCCGTCCTGCTCACACTCTCCTCCAGCCCCGGGAGGACTGTGGGCACAGCAGGGACAGGCCTGGCCCGGTTCCCCCGGAGCTGAGCCCCCAGGCGGCCCCTCCTCCCGGCCCTCCGGGCAGGCTCTGCACAGGGGGGTCCGCAGTGAATGACAGGCTGGCAGGACCAGGCTGCCCTGGCGTTGGGCCGTGTGGTGACCTAAATGAAGGACAGACAGAGGGACAGAGACCACTGCTAATGGACCCTGGATGTCCATACGGTGCTGACTGGACATTCAGCAGCCAAAGCTCCCAGGTGAATTCAGAGAACTCTGCAGCTCCTCGGAGCTTCTCCTGAGCCCAAGGAAGAGAATAAACCAGCCCGGGGCCGGTGTGGGGCCCTCAGGTCCTCCCCTGCGCTCCCCACCTCCCACTAGTGCTGGAGCCGCGCCAGCTCCCAGCTGTGCCCTCCCTGGGAAGGGCTGTCTCTGCAGACACAGTCCCCCGCCCAGGCCCTGACCTCTCTCTGAGGGAGATTCAGGTTAGCGACGCCTGAGGCCAGGAGCCCAGGCCCCAGCTCAGGTCAGGATGACGCGCAGGCCCCACCCCGAGTCCGCACCTGTCACCACACCGCAGGACGGACCCAGCCAGCCTCCCAGATTTCCATCCAGAGATCACACTCAGCACCATCCCTGCAGTTCAGACCGGAGGTCACAGAGTCCAAGAGAAAACACAAGTCAGGAGGGAAGAGTGCTGAGGAGGACGGAGCTGCACGGAGGGCAGCAGACATCGCTCAGACCCTGAGGAGATCGCGTGTGGGACAAGGTGACCAGAGGCGAGGACGCGACCTCCACGGACACTGCAGGCCGCTGGGCAGGGACACACGCAGCTCACAGCAGGGCCGGCTGCCCAGATGCAGGGGGAGCTCCGCATTAAGGCCTCAGGTGAAGAGACAGGAGAACTGACCCCCGAACCCATGTTGTGGGGAAACTTAGCCCAGAGGAAAGGCTGTCCTGACCCCATGTAAGAGACTGAAATAACAAGTGGAGAAAGGACTTTCGTGAGTCCTAGTGACTTTCCTGAAGGTAAAACCAAAAGTAAAAATAAGAAAAATTAGGGGAAAATATAAATATCCCGTATTCAGCAAGGAATGATTCACAGTACCCGGTTCCTAACAAAAATTACCTGTAAAGAATCAAAAAGATAGGAGCTATAGTAAGTACAAAATCTATTGATCCAAACATGCCCTGAAATGGCCCAGATGATATACTTTATAGGCAAGGACACAAAACCAACTTTTATCATTAGGTTTCTTTTTTTTCCTGAGATAAAGTGAGTTTTAACATGTTAAGTAGAAACAAGAGAGAGCTTGAAAATGATTCAAATTGAATTTCTATTAATGGAAATTACAGCATCTGAAGACTGAACCACTCTGGACAAGATGGACAGCACATGGATGTAGCAAAAGTGAAAAGTAGTGAATTGGAGCACTCCATCTGAGTCCCTGGTCCTCACCACCTTCCTGCGGCCTCTCACTGTGCTTCCAAAGCTGAGACGTGGCCTTTCCTGAGCATGCCAGGAAGTTCTCTCTCCTTTTAAAAAAAAAAACAGTGACCGATGTGGTGAATTTGCTGTGCTGCCGTCTCGATTAAAACTATGTTTTAAATATATAAGTAATTTTAAATTTTCCAAAAGCACTTTTTAAATTAGAAGAATTAGATGCTGTTTCCAAAATTAATTTTGCTTACTCAATTAGACAATTAGTTGAAAATATCATCTGGATGTGAATTAAAAATATTGACACAATCAACACTTCTCTATCTGAAATCTTTAAAACCTGGTGGGTATTTGAATCTGCAGCGCATCTCACTAGGACGACTCACAGTGCATGATCAGCAGCCAGTGTGGCTTGTGGGAAGTCACCATGTTGGAAGAGGCATTGAGATGGAAGTGGTTTCATTCAGGTAACGGTGCCTGCAGAACCACGTGCCACCACCAGGAGGCGGTGGAGGGTCCCACAGCCCAGAGGCATTGCTGGGCAAGAACTGAAGACCCCATTTCCACCCAGATCAAGGGTACTGAGGTCACCCAAAACAGGGGAATTTTACACATGGATCCATGTGACTTGCATCTGAAGGCAAGACACTAATGCAACTATAATTTTAAAGGTGGTTCTGAGCCATCGGGCACAATTTTATTATACTCTCTGAAATGAATGACAATAACTTGTGAATGTGTTAATAAATCTAGCCACATCTTCCCTTTCGCTGGGAGATCATCTCCATGAACTCCATGACAAGCCATAAAGAAATATTTTGTGTGCAGATCTAGAAAAGAGGTGGACCATAAGGACTATGTGATTGACACGGGATCCAGTGTACCTGAAAAAGAACAGAGGATTGTGAGAGCAGGGGTTCAGGAGGTCTGGGGAGGGGGAGGCGGAAGCTCTGGGGCCTGGGGAGGGGAGGGGAGGGTGCGGGCTGAACGGTCAGTGCCCTAGATGGAATCTTGTCCCACTCATCCCTGTCTGGGTGATGGTGTGGTTTGTCTCTAAGTCATGTCCGACCCTTGCAACTCCGTGGGACTAAGGGAAAATCACCTCCTCTCCCAGTGCTGGCTCCTGCTCATTATACTGGGGAAAGGTTGAGCCGTCACAGAGGGCGCTGTGGGCTTATTATGATGCCAGGGGAGGAGATGCAGGAAACTCCCCAAGGGTCTGGCATCGACTGGGGCTCACAAGTCCTCACTGTGTTGGAGCTACAGGTGTAGAAAGACGACCAACGCGGGGCACCAGGGGGCGCTGCGGATCCTGGTTCTGGACCCTCCCAGGTGCCTGTCCCCTGGGCAGGGCTCAAGGGCAAAGGGCACGACTGGTGCTTCCTTGAGCACACTTCTCTTGGGGAAAATGTCTGTCCCTCTGAAACCCACACGTGGCCCTGTGTCTGACCCCGGGGAATCCCCAGAGTGAGGCCCTGGGCTCAGGGCTGAGACGGGAGCTGAGACCCAGGACGGGGGCGGGGACTTGATTGGCATGCACTGCCCCTCCTTCTGGAGCTGCAGGGGAGAGGATCAAACGGGGGCCTGGAGAGGCCAGTCCAGCTGGGCAGCCTCAGGGCAGAGCCCAGGATGCCCCTCCCACCATGGCCTGGGTCCTCTTCTACCTGCTGTCCCTGCTGGTCAGCACCGGTCAGTGTGGCCCCGGGCCTCGGGGGCTCCCGGCCCCTCCGTCTGGCTCAGTCCTGAGGGTCCCCTACCAGTGTGGGCGCCCTCAGCCCCACCTGCCTTTCTCTCTGCAGGGCTCTGTGCTCGGCCTGTGCTGACCCAGTCCCCGTCTGCGGCCTCCTCCCTGGGAGGCTCGGCCACGCTCACCTGTACCCTGAGCAGTGAGCATAGCACGCACTTCATTCAGTGGGATCAGCAGAGCCCTGGGCAGGCCCCTCGGGATCTGGTGAAGCTGACCAGTGACCGAGAAGTCACCAGAGAGGACGGGATCCCCAGCCGCTTCTCCGGCTCCGGCTCCGGCTCCGGGGCTGAGCGCTACCTGACCATCAGCAGCCTCCAGTCTGACGACGAGGCTGATTACATCTGCGGTGTCAGCTATAATGATGGTGGCCAGAGTGGGTACCACAGTCACACAGACAAAGGGGAAGTGAGGCACAAACCTCCCTCCCGTGCCCTCTGCCCACAGGCACCAGGGTGAGCTGCTCCCTGTCCGTCCCCAGGGCCCTGACCTGAGTCTCCCCTCAGAAATCCATCTCCCTGACGCTCTCCCAGAGACACCAGCAGGAGAGGCAGAAACATGTTAATTTGAAGTGGTTTATAAATAGGACATTGTGTTTCCCCTTCCACAAGCCTGTGTGGACGATGCGGGGAGAGACCAGCCCAGACCCGGGGGGAGCGTGACCCTGGGAGGGGGCTGAACTGAGACGACCCGACCCCAGGAGGCCCAGGCCCCGTGCTCCCATGGTGGGTCTCTCAAGGCAGGGCCATGGAGAGGGGAGTCCGGAGGTCACAGTGGAGGTCAAGGCACCAGGTGACCTGACTCAGGAGCCCAGGGCGCAGAGCAGGAGCTCAGTCAGGCTGAGGGGGTCTGTGGGAGGACAGACCTGCCGACATTCAGCGGGAGCGTGTGATGGGAACACAGAGGGACAGACGGCAGGAAGTGAGGACAGGAACGAAAAGGGAGGCAGTGAACACTCACCCGCTCTGCACTGAGGGCGACGCACCGGTGAGGGGGTCCCCCCTCAGAGCCTTGGTCAGACACTAATGGGCAGGCTGACCTGTTGGCCACAGCCTCAGGAGCAGAGACTGTCTCCCCCCAACCTGCTCCCCACCCCCTCCTCTCTGGGGGGAAGGGTATTCTCTGTCTTATCTCCACTTCCTGCTCATAATGCCTAAGTGAGAGTCGGTTCCTGGAACCTTCTCTCACTATTCTTTTCCTGTTTTATAACTTAGATACACAAGAAACCCACACTTTCTCAAAACATCACTGAGTGTGGATAAATGCATACAGCGGTGTAAGACCCCACAGGCACAATATCCCCCAGCTCAGCCTTTCCCATCGTTTCCCCAGGCCCCTCCACATCAGCCCCTCCTCCACCACCACCTCTGGGACTGCGGCCCCGCTGTCTGTGCCTACAGGCGGGTCTCTGTTAGAACATCACAGAAATGGGAGCGCCCAAGGCAGCCGTTTGGCTCCGGCTTCCTTCACGCAGGGATGCATGTGAACTCCGTCCACGTGGTTGTAGCTCCTGACGGTTCCCTCCATGGCCGTTCCTGAGCAGATGTCCCTGGGAGGGTGGACCACAGTTCTGTTTATCCTTCACCTGTTGTAACATCAGTGTTGCTCTTTGGCAATGTCACATAAAACCTATACAGCATTTGTTATGAGCACTCTGTGAGCATAAGTTTCCATAGCATTTCGGTAAATACTGGGGGATGGAATTGACGGGTTGTATGGTAGATATGCGTCTACCTAAGAAACCGCCCAGCTGTTAACCAATGTTGCCGTTTCGTCGCTAAGTCGCATCCAACCCTTCGTGAGCACAGGGACTCTAGCACATCAGGCTCCTCTGTCCATGGGATTTCTCAGACAAGCACACAGGACGGGGTTGCCGTTTCCTTTTCCAGGAGATCTCCGGGACTCAGGAATTGAACCCATGGCTCCTGCATTGGTAGGTGGATTCTTTCCTGCTGACCCAGCTGGGAAGCCCTGTTCCAAACCAGCCCTTTATGAGCACTCATTGACCTGCATCGTGGGTGGCATCTGAGACTAGGATTTTTATCAAAGTCTCTCTAATAGGTCTGGAGTGATTCCTCCTTGCTTTTGGTTCTCACACCCTAGTGATTATGATATGGACCATATCACATGATATGCTCACTTCTCATCTGTGTACCGTGTTTTGTGAAGGGTGTCATCAAACATTTGGCTGATTATCAAACTCAGCTTCCCCCAGGGTTACTTGTTCTCAATGTGTGTGTTCCTGGGTGTTTAGTTCTGTCACTTTATCACAAGTGTAGGTTCGGGATCCACCAGCCCAGTCAGAATACATCAGTGACTTCTTCCCAGGGATCCCTGCTGTTCTTTGACAGCAACATCCACTTTCTTCCACCCGCTTCCCTGCGCTCCCCATCACCCCAGGCACCATTCATTCATCTCCACTTCTAAAAGTTAGTCTTTCCAGAAATGGTACATAGAAGTAAAAGATAGAATCACATAGCATGCATCCTTGGAAGCGGTATTTTTCAACCTGTAGAATCACTGGAGAATCATTAAAACTGTTCTGTGGGTGAAGAACTCAGTCCTTCTCATGGCCGAGTTATTTTCCAATGTTTGACGACCAAAGTCTGCACCCAGCTACCAGTGAAAGGACATCTGGATTGCTCTCGGTTTGGGCGGGTACTCACGCAGGATCTACGGACAGTTTATGTCTAGTTTCTCTGTGTACATACATCTTCGCTCTTCTCAAATAAAAGTTCAACTGGGCAGCTGCTGGGATGTATGCTGATCTCAAGGTTTTGAAGAAGCTGTCAACTCTTTTGCAGGGTAGCTACACCAGTTCACCATCCTCTGAGCCACGCCTCAGTGGTCCAGGTTCTCGGCATCCTTGTCAGTATTTGGGGTTGTCCTTGCATTTGTTTGGAGCATTCATACAGGTACATAATGATGTCTCATTGTGGTTTCACTTGCATTTCCCTCGTGGCTGATGACAAAGGTCTTTCCATGCGCTCTCGGCCACTTCTGCGTCCTCTTCCATAACACCTGGCTCTACTCACTGCCCATTTTCTGAATGTGATATACTCATTTCTTTTCTTTTTTTACTCAGTTGTGAGAGTTTTAATATACTCCACATACTTGCCCTTCAATGAATGTACGGTTTTCAAAAATCCTCTTTCAGGTTGTGATTTAGCGTTTTTTTCATCCTGTTTGGATAACTTGGGCTTCCCTTGTGTCTCTGCTGCTAAAGAATCCGCCTGCAATGCGGGAGGCCTGGGCTCGATCCCTGGGCTGGGAAGATCCCCTGGAGAAGGGAAGGGCTTCCCACTCCAGTACTCAGGCCTGGAGAATGCCATGAACCGTGTAGTCCATGGGGTCCCAAAGAGTCGGACACAACTGAGTGACTTTCACTTTCAGACAGCTTGCAAAGCAAAAGATATCAGTTTTGATGAGGTTCAAAGTATTGATCTTTCCTTTTATGAAGCATGCATCTGCTGTCACCAAAGAATTCTTCTTTAATCTTAGATCCCAACGATTCTCTCGAATGTAAAACATGTTTTTTTTAAGTTTCTTTTTTAAAAAAGAAAAGTTTTAAAGTTTTAAAAAGAAAAGTTTCCCAACATGTTCATGAGCCATTTTGTGGTGTCGATGCTGGAATTCTGGCTCTCATAGCAGCAGGACCACGGTCCCATCAGAGCCAGCTTCCAGCACTGTCTAGCCCCGCAGACGATGGCCTCGTCCCAGAGAGGACACCTGTGTGTCCCCCAGGCCCAGAGGGGACCCCTTGAGCAGACAGAGGGCATGTGCACTGCTCAGGGAGGGGCAGCCTTTCTCACTCAGCCCCGAGAGAGCCTGGGGACCTGCGCACAGGCCTGGGAGTCAGGCCCCAGGAGACTCCTCCTTGGAGCCCAGCTGCTCTCCGCTTCACAGGGGGCCGGTCCACAGACCACAAGGGGCAGGAAGGAGATTTGCATGAGGACGTCCCTCCTGAGGATAAGACAGCCCAGAGGCCCCAGCCCAGCTGCGGGCTCAGAGGCAGAGCTCAGGGCGCGTCCACCATGGCCTGCACCCCTCTCCTGCTGTCCCTCCTCTCTCTCTGCACAGGTGCGGCCCCCCAGCCCTGCCCGCAGGCTCAGGTTCCACAGGACCCTGGGCTGGGCCTGCCCGGAACCCAGAGCGCAGTCCAGGCACCGCCTCGGGGTGGGATACCCGGGGAAGGTGTCCTTCCTTCTCATCCCATCTTCCCCCTCTCTTCCAGGCTCCGCGGTCTCCTATGAACTGACCCAGCCGACTTCAGTGTCAGTGGCCTTGGGACAGACGGCCAAGATCACCTGCTCGGGGGACCTGCTAGATAAGAAATATACATCTTGGCATCAGCAGAAGCCAGGCCAGGCCCCTGTGACGGTCATTTATAAAGATAGTGAGCGGCCCTCGGGGATCCCTGACCGGTTCTCTGGCTCCAGCTCAGGCAAAACAGCCACCTTGACCATCACCAGTGCCCAGACCGAGGATGAGGCCGACTATCACTGTCTGTCAGCTGACAGCAGTGATGATCCTCACGGTGACACGGACAGACGGGGAAGCGAGACACAAACCCTCCCGTCCTGCTCACACTCTCCTCCAGCCCCGGGAGGACTGTGGGCTCAGCAGGGACAGGCCTGGCCCGGTTCCCCCGCAGCTGAGCCCCCAGGCGGTCCCTCCTCCCAGCCCTCCAGGTGGGCTCTGCACGGGGAGATCCTCAGTGGACGATGAGCTGGCAGAAGGGGGTGATGGTTTCCTGGACCAGAGCTCCTGAGACCCACAGGCACTGAATGGACTAGGGACACCTCACCCCAACATGAACTCAGCTTAACTCATGACGTCTGAATGGACTGTGTTTCCAAATAAGGCCCCGCTCTTAGGCACTGCTGTTAGGACTTCAGTTCGTGAGTGTAGAGGGTTCCAACAAGGTGTGTGTATTGGTGTTGCCAGAAAACACTGCCCTTGCCAGGTGTCCCAAACCCATCACACTCATGCTCCCACCATCCCAAAGCCTCTGGATTGTATGAAGGATAAGGTATATGAATATTAACAGATGGAATGAGAGTAAATACACATATGTGCTTAGTATGTGTCAAGCACCATCACAGTTCTTTCTATTTATTTACTTGTTTAACAGAACTATTCACTCTCTCTACCCAATCCCTGGTCCTCACCACCTTTGTGTGGCCTCTCACTGTGCTTCCAAAGCTAAACACGGCCTTTCCTGAATGTGCCAGGAAGTTCCTCCCATTTAGAAAATCAAGTGACTGATGTGGGGACTTTGCACTTCTGCCCTATCTGATTAAAACAAAGTTTTAACCACATGTGAGGGCTTCACTTATCAGTCAGTAGGTAAAGAATTTGCCTGCAATGCCAGAGACCCGGGTTCAATTCCTGGTTCACGAAGACCTCCCGGGAAGGAAATGGCAACCCACCCCCATTTTTTTGCCTGGAGAATCCCATGGACAGAGGAGCCTGGCAGGCTACAATCTACGGAGTCACAAGAGTCCATGGGGTCGTAAGAGTCAGACGCGACTTAACAACTAAACCAACACCACCAACAACCACATAGGCGATTTTAAGTTTTCCAAGAGACACTTGAAAAATGATGCAAAACAGATGCTGTTTCCATGATAGATTTTGCTTACTCAGTTGGTTGAAAATGTCATTTCGAGGGCTTCCCTGGAAGCTCAGGGGGAAAGAATCCACCTGCCAATGCAGGAGACACGCGTTCTCTCCCTGATCCGGGAAGATTCCGCATGCCGCAGGACGGCTAAGCCCGCGCCTCACATCCGCTGAGCAGCGCTCTGGAGCCTGGGAGCTGCCCCTGCTGAGCTCACTTGCCGAAACCACGGAAGCCCGCCCGCCCAAGGCCCGTGCTCCACAGCCAGAGAAACCACCGCGATGAGAAGTCCGAGCAGCACAACGAAGACCAGCGCCCACTCGCCACGAGTGGAGAAGGCCACACAGCAGTGACGACCCAGCACCGCCATGAATGAATAAATAAAATGATATTTTTAAATTGCCATTCCAATATGAATTAAATATGAAAATCTGGATACATTCTACACTGCTGCTGCCGCTAAGTCGCTTCAGTCGTGTCTGACTCTATGCGACCCCATAGACGGCAGCCCACCAGGCTCCTCCATCCCTGGGATTCTCCAGGCAGGAACACTGGAGTGGGTTGCCATTTCCTTCTCCAATGCATGAAAGTGAAAAGTGAAAGTGAAGTCGCTCAGTCATGTCCGACTCTTAGTGACCCCATGGACTGCAGCCCACCAGGCTCCTCCAGGCAAGAGTACTGGACTGGGGTGCCATTGTCTTTTCCGCCATTCTACACTACTCTATCCTAAGTCTTTGAGATCTACTGGGTATTTCACAACAGCACTTCTCAGCTGGGACTGCCCACCTTGGCTTGTGGCCACCATATTGCACTGAGCAAGTGAGATGGATGTGGCTTGGGGAACTGTGTCTGCAGAAAACACTCACCACCACCAGGAGGTGAGCGAGGCTCCCAAACCCAGACTCTTGGCTGGGAAGAAACTGGAGATCTATATTCCACCCAGAAACAAGGGGATTTTATACAGGTATCCATGTGACGTCCACCTCAAAGGCAAGTTAGGAATGAAACTATAATATTCAACAGTGGTTCTGAGCCATCACCCACAGTTTTACTATAGTTTGTGAAATAAATGGCAATACTGTTTTGTTTTGTTTTATTAAATTTCTACAAACATCCCTTTCAGTGGGAAGATATTTACATGAACCCCATGACGTGTCATAAAGTTTTATTTTGTGCCTAGATCTAAATGGAGAGGTGGACCGTAAGAAATATTTTATTGACACAGGATCCAGGGCACCTGAATACAGAAGAGAAAGTTGCCAGTGGAGGGGCTCAGGAGGCCTCGGGTTGGGGGAGGGAAAGAAGCTATGGGGCCCGAAGATGGGGTGGGGAGGGAAGCGGCTGAAAGGTCAGACTCTGAGATCAGTGCCCTGGATGGAATGTTGACCCACTCATCCCTGTCTGAGGGACTCTGGGGAAGTCCTGTCCTGTCCCAGTGCTGGCTCCTGCTCATTAGACTGGGGAGAGGTTGAGCCGTCACAGAGGGCGCTGTGGGCTTATTATGATGCCAGGGGAGGAGATGCAGGAAACTCCCCAAGGGTCTGGCATCGACTGGGGCTCACAAGTCCTCACTGTGTTGGAGCTACAGGTGTAGAAAGACGACCAACCCGGGGCACCAGGGGGCGCTGCGGATCCTGGTTCTGGACCCTCCCAGGTGCCTGTCCCCTGGGCAGGGCTCAAGTGCAAAGGGCACGACTGGTGCTTCCTTGAACACACTTCTCTTGGGGAAAATGTCTGTCCCTCTGAAACCCACACGTGGCCCTGTGTCTGACCCCGGGGAATCCCCAGAGTGAGGCCCTGGGCTCAGGGCTGAGACGGGAGCTGAGACCCAGGACGGGGGCGGGGACTTGATTGGCATGCACTGCCCCTCCTTCTGGAGCTGCAGGGGAGAGGATCAAACGGGGGCCTGGAGAGGCCAGTCCAGCTGGGCAGCCTCAGGGCAGAGCCCAGGATGCCCCTCCCACCATGGCCTGGGTCTTCCTCTATCTGCTGTCCCTGCTGGTCAGCACCGGTCAGTGTGGCCCCGGGCCTCGGGGGCTCCCGGCCCCTCCGTCTGGCTCAGTCCTGAGGGTCCCCTCCCAGTGTGGGCGCCCTCAGCCCCACCTGCCTTTCTCTCTGCAGGGCTCTGTGCTCGGCCTGTGCTGACCCAGTCCCCGTCTGCGGCCTCCTCCCTGGGAGGCTCGGCCACGCTCACCTGCACCCTGAGCAGTGAGCATAGCACGCATTTCATTCAGTGGGATCAGCAGAGCCCTGGGCAGGCCCCTCGGGATCTGGTGAAGCTGACCAGTGACCGAGAAGTCACCAGAAGGGACGGGATCCCTGGCCGCTTCTCCGGCTCCGGCTCCGGCTCCAGGGCTGAGCGCTACCTGACCATCAGCAGCCTCCAGTCTGACGACGAGGCTGATTACATCTGCGGTGTCAGCTATAATGATGGTGGCCAGAGTGGGTACCACAGTCACACAGACAAAGGGGAAGTGAGGCACAAACCTCCCTCCCGTGCCCTCTGCCCACGGGCACCAGGGTGAGCTGCTCCCTGTCCGTCCCCAGGGCCCTGACCTGAGTCTCCCCTCAGAAATCCATCTCCCTGACGCTCTCCCAGAGACACCAGATGGAGATCAGATACACATGCATTTTAAGTGATTTGGAAACAGGACATTGTGTTTCCTCTTCCACAAGCCTGTGTGGACGATGCTGGGAGACTCCAGCCCAGACCAGGGGGAGCATGACCCTGGGAGGGGCCTGAGTTGAGATGACCCTGTCCGTAAGAGCCCCCAGGCCCTGTGGGGTCTCTCAAGGCAGGGACCGGGGTCTGGGGGTCCACAGGTGACACTGCAGGTCGAGGCACCAAGTGACCAGACTCAGGGGCCCGGGGGCAGAGTGGGGCTCTGCCGGGACTGAGGGCTCAGCAGGAAGAACTGAGCTTCAGGGCGGGACGGAGCCTCGGCCCCATGGTGGGAGCAGAGCTGGGTCCTTGTGGAATGAGGGGCGTGTGAGGGGGTCTGGGGCCAGACAGATCCGGACCCGGCTGAGTTTCTCCCGCTAAGAAGAGTCTCAGCTTTGCTGTCAAGAATGGCTCCCGTTCCACCCAGAGGACGGCCTGTGATGGCCCAGCGCCATGGCCACGGAGACAGCAAGAGGGACGGTGGAGGGACACGGAACTGCAGAATACGGTCCCCGCCCCAGGTCTCAGCCTGTCGGGGAGCCCCTCAAATGCATTTGGGAGGGAGGATTGTGCACCTGAGGTTCCCCCATAGTTTGTCTGAAATCTGAAAAACAAGCATCTTTCACAGTGACACCTAGTCCCTGAGTCAATATGGGGCAGACCCCAGGGACCCTGACTCAGGGCACGGACCAGGTGGGATTTGGGGGCTGGATCGGGAAGGTCAGCTGGGTCCCCAGTGACTGAGGGCTGACGGGGAAGGTCCAGGAGCTGCCCGTGGCCTGGTGATGCCCATGGGCAGGAGAGGAGGAGGCTGGTGTCCTGGGGAGGGATGGGCGGGGTGCAGGAGGCAGGGCTAGACAGGACATCTGTGCTCCATCCTGCAGTGACCTCTGTACACAGTCTGCCTGGGCTCACAGCAGACACGGCATCTCCCTGGACTCCTGCCCTCAGTCCAGGGAAGGGCTGTTCTCTCCAGTGTCTTTGACCCAAACAAGAGCTCCTACAGGTCCCTCAAGTGGGGAGTCTCCTGTCCCCCTTACACTGCAGAAGAGGGAGGGGGAAGTCAGCAGGGAGGAAACCCTCGCTGCGGGTCCCACCACGTCCACACCCCCATGGTCTGGGCTGCTGAGAACTGTGAGGCAGTTAGCAGGAGCCTCTGATGGACACGCGGAAGGACAGACAGACAGAAGGGAGGACAGCGATGGGAAACAGAAGCAGAGAAGACCGCTCCCTGCTGTGCTGAGATGGCGACCCACCAGTGAGGGGCCCTCCCCGCACAGCCTTGGACACACAGCGTGGAGCACCCATTAGAGGTCATCTCTGTGACAAGGTCACGACAAGGTCAGGCTCTCAGGGGGGGCCGCTGTTTGTCCATCTGTGAAAGCGACAGATGAACAGGGTGGACATTGGCGTCCACTTCCAGGTTACTCTGCCCTGTGGAGATAGGATAGGTGACCTTATAAAAGAGATCAGAAACACATGCCCAGCCCCCAGTGAGCCGCCGAGACAAGGCTTTGTAAGGTCAGAGCCAGGAGGTGCCCTCAGTGAGCCAAGGAAAGACCTGGCAACAGAAACAATAGTGCACGGTCTTGATCACAGACTTCTGACCCCCAGAAACACAGCAAAGAAATGTATGGTGTTTAAGCATCATGTGGATGGTGTTCGAGTATCGCTGCCTGAGTTGACTATATCAGGAGCTGGTCGCTCTGGTGTATAGGGATTTATTGGAACATAAGTCCTCATTTCCCTGAAATAAATTTTAAGAGCACAATTTCTAGATTGCACAGTAATCCAATGTTTAGTGTATTAGTAACTGCTGAACTGTTTCTCAGAGTGCCTGTGACACTTTACATTCCTTCCTGTGACTCAGGAACAACCAATCTCTCTGCTGTCAAGCCACCCTTGGGTCTTGCCACCATTTATATTGAGTCCATATGTTCAGTTGTGCAGCGGGGTCCCCTAGGGTGTCACTGACATTCCCCTAATGACTCGTGGTGACCATGTCCCATCTGCTCATGTGGCTTCTGTACGTTCCTGGAGAAGTATCTCTTCACGTCATTTTCCCCATTCCTATTGGATTTTTTTCATATTGATTAGTTTTGAGAATTTTTGAAATGCATACACAAGTCTTTTGATGAATCTGTGAGTAAAAAATACTTTCTAAACTTTACTGGACTTCTAAACTCTCTAAAAAAACTTTTTAAAAACAAATGCTTTATTTATTTATTTTTGTTGTTGTTGACTTTTATTTTTATTTATTTTTTTTCCATTTATTTTTATTAGTTGGAGGCTAATTACTTTACATCATTGCAGTGGTTTTTGTCATACATTGAAATGAATTAGCCATGGGTTTACATGTATTCCCCATCCCGGTCCCCCCTCCCACCTCCCTTTCCACCCGATCCCTCTGGGTCTTCCCAGTATACCAGGCCCGAGCACTTGTCTCATGCACCCAACCTGGGCTGGTGATCTGTTTCACCCTAGATAATATACATGTTTCGATGCTGTTCTCTTGAAACATCCCACCCTCGCCTTCTCCCAGAGTCCACAAGTCTGTTCTATACATCTGAGTCTCTTTTTCTGTTTTGCATGTAGGGTTATCGTTACCATCTTTCTAAATTCCATATATATGTGTTAGTATACTGTAATGGTCTTTATCTTTCTGGCTTACTTCGCTCTGTATAATGGGCTCCAGTTTCATCCATCTCATTAGAACTGATTCAAATGAATTCTTTTTAATGGCTGAGTAATATTCCATGGTGTATATGTACCACAGGTTCCTCATCCATTTGTCTGCTGATGGGCATCTAGGTTGCTTCCATGTCCTGGCTATTATAAACAGTGCTGCGATGAACATTGGGGTGCACGTGTCTCTTTCAGATCTGGTTTCCTCGGTGTGTATGCCCAGAAGTGGGATTGCTGGGTCATATGGCAGTTCTATTTCCAGCTTTTTAAGAAATCTCCACACTGTTTTCCATAGTGGCTGTACTAATTTGCATTCCCACCAACAGTGTAAGAGGGTTCCCTTTTCTCCACACCCTCTTCAGCATTTATTGCTTGTAGACTTTTGGATAGCAGCCATCCTGACTGGCGTGTAATGGTACCTCATTGTGGTTTTGATTTGCATTTCTCTGATAATGAGTGATGTTGAGCATCTTTTCATGTGTTTGTTAGCCATCTGTATGTCTTCCTTGGAGAAATGTCTGTTTAGTTCTTTGGCCCATTTTTTGATTGGGTCATTTATTTTTCTGGAGTTGAGCTGGAGGAGTTCCTTGTATATTTTTGAGATTAATCCTTTGTCTGTTGCTTCGTTTGCTATTATTTTCTCCCAATCTGAGGGCTGTCTTTTCACCTTGCTTATAGTTTCCTTTGTTGTGCAAAAGCTTTCAAGTTTCATTAGGTCCCATTTGTTTATTTTTGCTTTTATTTCTAAAATTCTGGGATGTGGGTCATAGAGGATCCTGCTGTGATTTATGTCGGAGAGTGTTTTGCCTATGTTCTCCTCTAGGAGTTTTATAGTTTCTGGTCTTACATTTAGATCTTTAATCCATTTTGAGTTTATTTTTGTGTATGGTGTTAGAAAGTGTTCTAGTTTCATTCTTTTACAGGTGGTTGACCAGTTTTCCCAGCACCACTTGTTAAAGAGGTTGTCTTTTTTTCATTGTATATCCTTGCCTCCTTTGTCGAAGATAAGGTGACCATAGGTTCGTGGATTTATCTCTGGGCTTTCTATTCTGTTCCATTGATCTATATTTCTGTCTTTGTGCCAGTACCATACTGTCTTGATGACTGTGGCTTTGTAGTATAGTCTGAAGTCAGGCAGATTGATTCCTCCAGTTCCCTTCTTCTTTCTCAGGATTACTTTGGCTATTCGAGAAAAACAAATGCTTTATATTTTAATGTTTCCACATAACTTCTTCCTTTTACATATAATGAAGTTACTGTCAAATCCAAGAATTCTTGCCTTGGTCTAGGTACAGAAGATTGTTTTTTCCATTTTATTTCTAAAACATGATATGAAAAAAATACTTATACATATGAATCATATACATGCATGAATCATTTTGCTGTAACCTGTAAATAATACAACATTGCAAATCAACTATAGGTCAATAAATGTGTGCTCATTCACTCAGTGGCGTTCAGTCTTTGCTTCCCTTGGGCTGTAGCCCACCAGGCTCCTCTGCCCATGGGAATTTCCATGAAAGAAGACTGGAGTGGGTTGCCATGCCCTCCTCCAGGGGATCTTCCCACCCAGGGGTCAAAATCGAGTCTCCCGTCTCTCCTGCATTGCAGGTGACCTCTTTACCACTGAGCCACCTGGAAAGCTTGCTATGTCAATAAATAAATAAATCCAATTCTAAAGAAATACAACAAAAATTTTGCCAGAGCCATGTGACCAGTGTCACCGTGTCCAATGCTGGAATCCTGGCTCTCAGAGCAGCAGGACCCGCTTCCAGCAGGGCCAGCCCTGTACGTGATGACCTCGTCCCCAGAGAGGACTCCTGTGGGTCTCCCAGACACAGAGGGGACCCTGTGAGCAGACAGAGGGTGTGTGAAAGAGCTGGGGGAGGGGCAGGCTTTCTCACTCAGCCCCGAGAGAGTCTGGGGACCTGCGCACAGGCCTGGGAGTCAGGCCCCAGGAGACTCCTCCTTGGAGCCCAGCTGCTCTCCGCTCAGCAGGGGGCCGGTCCCCAGGATGGAGATTTGCATGAGGACGTCCCTCCTGAGGATAAGAGAGCCCAGAGGCCCCAGCGCTGCTGCGGGCTCAGAGGCAGAGCTCAGGGCGCGCCCACCATGGCCTGCACCCCTCTCCTGCTGTCCCTCCTCTCTCTCTGCACAGGTGCGGCCCCCCGGTGCGGCCCCCAAGTGACCAGGGCTCAGGCTGGCCCTGAACGTCAGCTCAGCACAGAGGCTGCCGCAGGGTGAGTGGGGGGCCCAGAAGGAGGCCCTCTTGCCACACTCACTCTCTTCTCTCTTCCAGCTCGTGCGGTCACCTCTCAGCTGACTCAGCCGCCTGCGGTGTCCGTGTCCTTGGGACAGACGGCCAGCCTCACCTGCCAGGGAGACGACTTAGAATCACTTGGTGCTCACTGGTACCAGCAGAAGCCGGGCCAGGCCCCTGTGCTGGTCATTTATGTTGATAGCAACCGGGCCCCAGGGATCCCTGACCGGTTCTCTGGCTCCAGCTCGGGGAGCACGGCCACCCTGACCATCAGCAGGGCCCAGGCCGAGAACGAGGCCGACTATTACTGTCAGTCAGCTGGTGTCAGTGGTGGTGATGCTCACAGTGACAGACAGACGGGGAAGCGAGACACAAACCCTCCCGTCCTGCTCACACTCTCCTCCAGCCCCGGGAGGACTGTGGACTCAGCAGCGACAGGCCTGGCCCGGTTCCCCCAGAGCTGAGCCCCCCAGGCGGCCCCTCTTCCCGGCCCTCCAGGCAGGCTCTTCACAGGGGGGTCCGCAGTGGACCATGGGCTGGCAGGACCAGGCTGTCCTGGTGTTGGCCCGTGTGGTGAACTGGACAAAGAGGCCTCAGTGAAGGACAGACAGAGGGACAGAGACCACTGCTAATGGACCCTGGATGTCCATACGGTGCTGACTGGACATTCAGCAGCCAAAGCTCCCGGGTGAATTCAGAGAACTCTGCAGCTCCTCGGAGCTTCTCCTGAGCCCAAGGAAGAGAATAAACCAGCCCAGGGCCGGTGTGGGGCCATCAGGTCCTCCCCTGGGCTCCCCCACCTCCCACTAGTGCTGGAGCTGCGCCAGCTCCCAGCTGTGCCCTCCCTGGGAAGGGCTGTCTCTGCAGACACAGTCCCCCGCCCAGGCCCTGACCCCTCTCTGAGGGAGATTCAGGTCAGTGATGCCTGAGGCCAGGAGCCCAGGCCCCAGCTCAGGTCAGGATGACGCGCAGGCCCCACCCCGAGTCCACACCTGTCACCACACCGCAGGACGGACCCAGCCAGCCTCCCAGGCTTCCATCCAGAGATCACACTCAGCACCATGCCTGCAGTTCAGACCGGAGGTCACAGAGTCCAAGAGAAAACACAAGTCAGGAGGGAAGAGTGCTGAGGAGGACGGAGCTGCACGGAGGGCAGCAGACATCGCTCAGACCCTGAGGAGATCGCGTGTGGGACAAGGTGACCAGAGGTGAGGACGCGACCTCCACGGACACTGCAGGCCGCTGGGCAGGGACACACGCAGCTCACAGCAGGGCCGGCTGCCCAGACGCAGGGGGAGCTCCGCATTAAGGCCTCAGGTGAAGAGACAGGAGAACTGACCCCCGAACCCATGTTGTGGGGAAACTTAGCCCAGAGGAAAGGCTGTCCTGACCCCATGTAAGAGACTGAAATAACAAGTGGAGAAAGGACTTTCGTGAGTCCTAGTGACTTTCCTGAAGGTAAAACCAAAAGTAAAAAAAAGAAAAATGAGGGAAAAATACAAGTATCCCGTATTCAACAAGGAAAGATTCACAGTATCCAATTCCTAACAAAAATTACCTGCAAAGAATCAAGAAAATAGGAGCTATAGTAAGTACAAAATGTATTGATTCAAACATGCTCCGAAATGCCCCAGATATTGTAGTTTATAGTCAAGGACACAAAACCAACCTTTAAAATTATGTTTATTTTCTTTCTTGAGATAAAGAGACTCAAAACACATTAAGCAGACACAAGAGAGGTTTAAAAATGATCCAGATTGAATTTCTATGAATGGAAACTGCAGTATCTGAAGACTGAACTACTCTGGACAAGATGGACAGCACACGGATGTAGCAAACGTGAAGAGGAGTGAATGATCCCTCCGCGCGTGACCCTGGTCCTCACCACCTTCCTTTGGCCTCTCACTGTGCTTCCAAAGCTGAGACATGGCCTTTCCTAAATGCGCCGGGAGGGTCCCTCTCGTTTATCAAGAAACCAGTGACCAGGGTGGTGACTCTGCTGTGCCGCCCTGTCTGGCTTTAACTGCACATGTAATTTAAAATTTTCCAGCACACAGGGGCGAGTGCTCTGCCTCACCCAGAGTTCCTGCGCACGAGCCTCAACGTGTGAATCTGCTCCAGAGGACAAGCCTCCAGCAGCTGATTTTCTTTCTTTGCTTCTAGTCATTACACTGTCCCTTTTCTGAGCAGAGACCTCAGGTTCGGGAGGAGGGGGCTCTGCCTTCCTCGGCCTCGTGTTCCTCCTGGGTCCGCCTGCAGAGACCTCCTGCTTCACTGAGCCCTTGGGTTCAAATGCTCCTGTCCTCCAGAAACACACCCAGACACCCCTAGAAGTGAATCAGTCCAACTTTGTTTCCAGGCAAAGTGAACACACAAAATGAACCCTCACGGTGCTGAACATGATAACTCATGTGTGTGTATATATATATATATCTATCTTACTGTAGTTTAAAGTTCCCTCAGTCTAAAATGAAACATAGGAATTAGAATTGTGAAGTCAATTGACCAAGAAACCAGAAGAAAAACTGTGTAGTGATCACTCACACACTCTTCCATGAACGTCACATGGGTTACATGGTCCCTTGGAGACTCATAGCCTCCCTCTCTCTCTCTCCATGTACATATATACAGAGGTATGTTTGTGTCTGGGAGAATACAAATACACTTTTCCAGTCCACAGCCCCCACATTCCCTGATGCCCAGAAGGTCTGTCATAGCTGTTAATTTTGTCCCCATATAAGATCTTCCGGCGTAAACAATAGGAAATCTTCTGGACCCAGGAATTGGACCAGGGTCTCCTGCATAGCAGGTGGGCTTCTTTTTTTTTTTTTTTAACTAATTTATCTACAATTTATTTCTATGGTTCTACAGTTTATTTATTTTTTTATTTTTTTTAGAGTGCTTAGACTTTTATCCTTAAAATTCCTTTTTTTGTTTCCCATTTATTTTTATTAGTTGGAGGCTAATTACGCTACCAGCTGAGCTACCAGGGATGTGTGTGTGTGTGAAAGTCACTCAGTCACGTCCTACTCTGCCACCCCAAGGACTATACACTCCATGGAATCCTCCAGGCCAGAACACTGGAGTGGGTAGCCCTTCTCCTCTCCAGGGGATCCTCTCAACCCAGGGATTGAACCCAGGTCTCCCGCATTGCAGGCAGATTCTTTACCAGCTGAGCCAGAAGGGAAAACCTACCAGGGAAGCCCCAAGTAAAAGGAAGCTAATCACAAAGATAAGAGCAGAGACCAATAAAATAAAAAACAAGATGTATTTTTTAAAAGTCAGCAAGACACAAATCTATGAATCTCTGACCCAGTGGTTCTTAACAAAAGGTCTTTCCACCCATCCCAGGGGACATTTGTCCATGTCTGGAGACAGTTTTGATTGACACAAATGGAGAGGATGTAGTTGCTACAGGTATGTAGTGAATAAAGGTTAAATAATGCTGCTAATATCCTCTGTTTGTAGGACAACTCCCCACAATAAAGAATCATTTAGCCCAAAATGTTAACTGTTCCAAGTTTGAGAAACTGTTCTCACAGTTCTCTGTTCATATAGTTCAAGCAGAATGAGAGAGAGAAAGAAAGCGAGAGGGAGAAGGAGAAGACCAATATCAAGAATGAAAGACAATTTCTCTGGTAATTTGGTGGTAAAGAATCCACCTGCCAACGCAGGAGACTTCCCTGGTGTGGGAAGAGACATCTCTGGCCCATTTAATCCCTGGTCCCGGAAGATCCATGTGCTGCAGAGTAACTAAGCCAGCATGCCACAACTACTGAAGCCTGCGCATCCGCGAGCCTGTGCAGGAGGCCACTGCAGTGAGAACCCGGGCTCTGAAACTGGAGAGTGGCCCCACTCTCAAGTAGGAAAAAGCCCATGCTGCAACGAAGACCCAGCACAGCCAAACGTGAATAAACAAATTAGTAAAATTATCATAAAGGAAACCCCATAGTCATCAAAAGGATAAGAAGTAAAAATTAACACCTTTAGATTCAATAACTTTGACAACAAATGAAATGAGTATCAAGCTACTCAGTTCAGCTCAGTTCAGTCGCTCAGTCATGACAGACCCTTTGTGACTCCGTGGACTGCAGCACACCAGGCCTCCCTGTCCATCACCAACTCCTGGAATTTACTCAAACTCATGTCCATCGAGTCGGTGATGCCATCCAACCACCTCATCCTCTATCGTCCCCTTCTCCTCCCGCCTTCAATCTTTCCCAGCATCAGGGTCTTTTCTAGTGAGTCAGCTCTTCGCATCAGGTGGCCAAAGTATTGGAGTTTCAGCTTCACCATCAGTCCTTCCAATGAATATTCAGGGCTGATTTCCTTTAGGATGGACTGGTTAGATCTTGCCGTCCAAGGGACTCTCAAGAGTCTTCTTCCAACACCACAGTTCAAAAGCATCAATTTTTGGCATTCAACTTTCTTTATAGTCCAGCTCTCACATCCATATGTGACTACTGGAAAAACCATAGCCTTGACTAGACTGACCTTTGTTGGCAAAGTAATGTCTCTGCTTTTTAACATGCTGTCTAGGTCGGTCATAACTTTCCTTCCAAGGAGTAAGGGTCTTTTAATTTCATGGCTGCAGTCACCATCTGCAGTGATTTTGGAGCCCCCAAAATAAAGTCTGTCACTGTTTCCACTGTTTCCCTATCTATCTGCCATGAAGTGATGGGACCAGATGCCAGGATCTTAATTTTCCCAATGTTGAGCTTTGAGTCAACTTTTTCACTCTTTCACTTTCATCAAGAGGCTCTTTAGTTCTTCTTCACTTTCTGCCATAAGGGTGGTGTCATCTGCATATCTGAGGTTATTGATATTTCTCCCAGAAATCTTGATTCCAGCCTGTGCTTCATCCAGCCCAGCGTTTCTCATGATGTACTCTGGATATA